GTGAAGCATGATCAACGAATTAAAAAAATATATATCGTAAGGCAGGAAGCACCGCAATGTGTGAAAACTTAAGTTTGCCAATTTTGATTAACATTACAAAACTATCATTCATAGTGCTATTCTCCAAAACAATATATACTTGGATCAGTAATAAAGTCGATCAAAAATGTCCTGCAGTTCTGGATCTATCATCCGATTTGACCATTCGCACATTCCTCGCCGAACAAGTCAAATACGTCTAAGGGGTCAAATACGTGACAGAAGTTTCCTCGGACAAAAAGGATGATAATTACAGCTGAAATATTATGGCGTGAAGATGTCAATTCACCTAAGAAATTTCGGCAACCTCCGGCGTTTACACCAGGCTGCCAAGTGCCATGTTCCACGGTCATCTGGAAAGTAATTCGGTCTGATCCTGCGCTGTCACTGAGCGATTGCGGACCCAGATGGCAAATCTCCATCTTCTCGTACTCCCGAACAAAGTCTTCATAGCACATCCTGGAAACGCAAACACCGCATGGTTAGGTCGCCATTGTGACACAGGAACAATGTGCAAATTGAAGAAATAAAGCTGCTAGACTTGGTCGGCTTCTGTAGTTTGAAAAGGAATAGACGCTACCGTTAGGCTATGCCCCTTTCGGAGGACAGGTGGATGGAACTCCTCCCGTTTTCGGCAAAGGATTCGGAATCAACTAAATATTAATATCAAAGTCATGTACTAATAAACCCCAAAAGCAGATTTTGACCAGTGCCCTCTAATAATCCAGCATTAGACCCTAACACATCAATTACGCACTCATGGTTAGATATTCCACTGGGATACGCAATCATTTTATTTGAGTAATAAAATCCATACCAATAAAATGATGCACAAAAAGAAGCTGCCAATCAATTCTAGACCACGGATGAATTCGCTTTTAAAGGTGTAGTTAAATACTATCGAGATGGTAACACTGAGACTCTCATTATCGGACTGAATTTGTGTCAATTGACAGCCTTCCAGGTCATTGCGAACGAGCGAACTTATATTCTGGTTGGCAGTCTCGGTCCAGCTGGTTAACCCAAGTTTGAAAAAGACAGCGGCCTCGGCAACATTCGAAGCCACGATAGCAAGAATAAGGCTTGAGTACAGCTAACGCTCTAACCATATGAGCTACGAGGCCACGACCGGAAGCCAGGAGCAGAATCCCGTTTGAAGCCTAATAACAAAGAGTTTGCTGATTTTCGCTCAGCAAGATATATATGCTTCCGTTCCCTACAGAATGCACATTTTATGGCCCAAGGCAGGTAG